GAATCCTGGGAACTATGGTTTGTTAAAGTAGGGTTGCCATATTTCAAACAGTGAAAATCCAGACAGAAAAGTGGTTGAGATTTTTTTGGGCAAATTTTTTTGGGGGGCAAAGTTGGTGTGGCTTTTTGAGCTTTCTTTAGTTTTGAACAAAGTTGTTGGGCTTTTTGGGCAAAATCACTTTAAAAAATGCCGGGTTCTATGGAAAAAGGGTACTGCTGCCATTGGCTGCCATACGTCCGGATTTTCCTGGACATTTCCTGGATTTTCAGCCAACTACAGTATTACATATATGTCCAGGAAAATCCGGACTTATGGCAACCCTAGTAAAGGTGCTGAGAGTTGTTAGGAGACCCCTACTCTCCTCACAGTACTACAGTTCCCAGACTTCCCAGGGAAGAGAAGTTGTCTGCTAAACCACTCTGAGAATTGTCCTGTCCTCTGGTTGCCCTGAATTCAGCACACGCACACCCAATGCATTCAAAGGACTTTTTTTGTTATTTTCAGAAATGGAAGCTGTGATAAGAAGTAGACTGAAACTTGAAGCTCCAGAAATGTTTAAGAGTTGAAAAGTTTTACAACTAGAAATGGAGTTGTCTGTCTAGTACATCGTTTTCCCACGGATTGCAATATTAATGCTCTTTTGAACCATGTACTGCATGAAATATTCATATTTTTTTTTCTTCCTGCAGCAAACAAAGCCAGAAAGCATAGGTAAGTTTATGAAGATGCTTTGTGGCATTCCACATTCTGATCTTTCAGGGATTACTGTCATTTCCACACAGCTTCTCCCTCCCCCTGATTCTTATTTATCCTTTAATGTGAGATGTGAGAAAAATCTATGAAGATTCATTTTTGCTAGAGCTCTTTCTGTGTACCCAGGGCTCCAATCCTATATATATGCTTCCTTGGGAGTTAGTCCCATTGTACTTGGTGGGATTTGCCTCTGAGTAAATATGTGCAGGTTTGCATTTCAAATCTCTGGGTTTTTAGTAAGCACAAGATATGATTAGAGAGAATTGCAGGCTGATTTATTTTAAGTCATTTTAAGTTTTTATACACAGAACTGCAATAATGTGATCTTTAGACTCTGGACTTAAACAGGCCTATGGAGGACCCTCTCTTTTGATCAGGGAGACATTTTGCAGCCTAAGTGCCGCATTGTCTCATGGGGAAACTTCTGAAGGTCACATGCCACTGGTGAGTAGGATGAATGGGGGGAGTAGGTGGGGCAAAGGAGGAAAGTGAGTGGAACAAGAGATGTGACTATTCCTTTGTAAAATAAGCTACATTCCAACTATATAAAAGCCAGAAGTTTCCACACCTGCTCCTACACATCTCTCCATCTTCCATCTAGGCAAGCAAGGGACATTATCACAGTTCAAAGATACATCTCAGTCAGGCCAAAGCACTCAAGGGAAGAAGCCTTGGAGCCCGGGGAGTGGTGGTGGGATGACGATGAGTGGTCAGAGGGAGAACAGGGAGGAGGAGGTTTGGAAGCTGAAGGGGCAACAGGGTTTAGTGAGCAGGGAGAGTCTGTGGCAGAGAGAAGTCTAGAATCAGAATCAGAAGCGGAAGCAAGAGAGAAGAGGGGCCAAGAAGCAAGATGAATCAGACTGGTGAAGAGGCACTGATGTCTCCCCCTCCTGCTGTGACAAACTCTCCTCCCCGCTGGTTTCCCAGGACCAGGAGAGGCATAAAAAACCATCCATAAAACATTGGTGCTCCAGACGTATTAAACACATAAAACATATAAAAGACTCAGTAGCCACCATTAAGTAAAATTAAGTAGTTTTAGATTTGACTTTTAAAAATCTCGACTAAATATCCTGAAACAATCTCAGTAGTTTCAGGACTGTCACCCCTCAGAAGATATTGGATTACAGATTCTTTGCAAATAGATACTTGGAGCTTCAAAGGAGTCACCCGTAGGTCTCTCTGAAGAGTGTTGAAGAGATGGCAGTCTGAAATTATATGCTATGTATATTGTATCTGGTGTATTCATACCATAAAAGCGAAGTCTATTCTGGAAGGGTATTTTGGGGGACCTTCCAGACAGTACAAATGAGGGGAATGCATTTAAATGAGCTAACATAACAGCCCCACAAGGCATATTCTTATTGTAACACTTGCAGGAAACACCAGCTTTTTCATGACATACAGTGCTAAGCAGGACAGGATTGCAGCAAAGATCTGCAGTATTTGAGAACTCCACACACACACACACACACACACACACACACACACATCTCAAAGCAGAAGATACAGGACCTTACCTAAGCACTAAGGACATGGAAAAGCATGATTTATTGGTTGGAGGTGTTACTTAAAGAACCATTACATCATTACGATCATAATTTCTACCTTGCAGATGGGGGCTCTGTGAGTTCTCTTGCAGGGGCTTTCTAGGTCATAGCTCACCCTCTTTACTGCTAAATACACAGATTTCAACTGTGTACGCTGCACATACTCCTGCCCCAGCACATCAGCTTGTTCACTTCTGTCAGCCAGAGCTCCTCACAAACTCTTTGAAGAGGCAAAACATCCTGCAAGGGCTTTCTTGAAATGGTTGGTGGCTGGCTCCAGATGCCCGGAGCATCAGTTCACAGGAACGAAACCCTTCAAAATGTACGCTGCAAACAGAAGGGTGAAAAATCCCCCTGCAGCGTGACATGAGGAGATGATTAAAGGCCTGGATGCAAAGGTCAAATCCACCTAGGGTGATATTCATTCACCTCAGGATATTATTACACACTTCTGATATCAAAGGTACAGGGAGGAAAGAGAGAAGCCACAACTTAATTCCTAACGCAGTTTGTTCTCTGTGGGAAGCCTCTGGTGCAGGCAGCAGTTAACAACATTTCTCTCTCTCTCAGTCATCTTTTGGGGGGAAACAGAAATGCAGCTTCAACATTTCATATGTAAAACTTCCTTTCTGACACTCCCATGTATTGGCTAAGTATAGAACGTAATTTATGGGGTAGAATTAAGAACGTCATCACATACAGTTTTGCTGTCAGGTTCTCTCGGAATGGGCAAATGTGTCAATTTTCGGTCATTCTAAGTTCCTCATTTTTCCAATAAATCTTCACACTTCCGCATTGGCTTATGTGTGTGTGTGTGTCTTTAAGTTTGCAATTTTAAAATTTCCTTAAAATGTATTCTAATGTACACATTTTTGTATGTAATTTTGCCCAATACACACATTTTTGCAAAGCACTTTTTCTTTCTGGGGTGTTATTTTTACTTATGGATACTACCGCAGTATATGCATTTTTCGTACACTTCGCTTTCCTGAGGAACAGCATTGCAAAATTTGGAGAAGTGCAAAGTTTGAAGGATGGCTGTGTTTCAGTTTGTTTATTAATTTGGAAAGTATGGATTTGGCAGGGTTGCCTTTAAAGGCCAACTGAATCAAATTTCTCCCTCATCTTTGGTTCTGTCTTAGCTCCAGACCTGTGTTTCTTAATACTTCTCCTCCCAGAAGCTACAGCAGTTCCTGTGCTCAGAATAGTTGCTTGATTTCGACACAAGAGGGCCAGGATGTGAGAACGTGGATTAAAAACTGAAACCTCCTGGGAAGAGTGCTGTGCGCAAGCCAGAACACTTCTAGGTAATCTTTTGTGGCTGTTCATCACCCATTTTGTCAGTGGTTGCTGCGAGTTGCTCTGTTCAATCCTTCACACAGGGAATTACGCCAAGCAGTGTGTTTACGCAGAGCTTTCCAAACTTTTCAAGTTGGTGACAACACTTTTTTGGGCATGCATTATTTCTCAACAAAGTAATTCTGTTTTGCATCATTTCATGACACAGGAATTCAGTTTTACTAGCAAACCAGAAGTTAAACTAACCCCTTTCCAGCCTCGGGAGGAGCTCTGGGAGAGCTCTTGTGACACACCTACACGCTGCAGTCAGCACACTAACATGTCACAACACACAACTTGGAAAGCTGTGGCCTAAGGGTCGGCACCTTTTTATTGGCCTCACTCTTGCACCTCCCCCCTCCCGCAAAAAAGAAACCCGGGGGGGGGGGGGAAGCAGGTGAATCATTTTCTGCTTCTCTGCATGCAGGGGGAAAAGTGCCACTTGCTAAACATCTATATGTCAGGCTGCTAATAAAGGTGTAAGAGGGTCTGGTAGCAAAACTGCCAGTATTAGGATCAACAGTGCAAAGGATCTAGCAAGATCTGCAGACCTGACACAGGAAGGACAGCACAAAAGCAACCGAAGCTCCAAACCCCTGTTAAGTGGCATCTTTTATCTACCTTCCATTTCCTATGTTTAGTGGGCCATTGTTTCTAAACTCTGCATGGGGCTTCCCTTGTGCTGGGTCCAGAAACTGCAGTTAGTGACAAATGCTGCAGTACAGTTGCTGACAGGCGAGAGACCCAGTCAGCATGCTACAACTCCACTCAGAGATCTGAGTTGACTGCTGATTTGTCATGGGGCCAGATTCAAGAGTTAGCAGCTTGGAACTAGTTTACTTAAAAGATTGCGAGAGTGACCCTGGGTCCCTCCAGACCGGTGGTGGTGGTGATGTTCTTTGTTGCATTTTGCAAGTGTGTTCTGCAACATGCCACTGATGCAATAATAATGCATTAGTAGCAGATTTATACTGGGCCATCCACACATCATTCCATGTTATTAGTTGTTCTGCAATACTGTTATCGCATTATTGCCATCTGGAGGGGCACTCTTGCATTTTAGTGCAACCAAAGTGGGACAAAAATAAAAGGGACCTTTTTGAGTAGGAAAAGTTAAAGGATTTCAGCAAGACATCATGGGAGATTGGAAATGAAGCAATAAGTCTGCCCCAAACTTTGTGCAAGTGCAAACCATTTTGAAATTGGGACCATGTATGACTGCCCTGCTACCATGATGAGTACAAATTATCCCATCATGCCTGATAAAAGGGATGCCTGGAGGGGGCCTGCGGTAAGTTTGACAAGCATTTTCCATGCTGAAACTGCTTTAAAAATTATGACAGTGGTGGTGACTATCATGTCAGGGATAGCTCACTTGGTAGAGTATGAGACTCTTAATCTCAAGGTTGTGGGTTTCAGCCCCACGTTCGGCAAAAGATTCCTGCATTGCTGGGGTGGTGGTGAGAAGACCCTTTTGGTCCCTTCCAACTCTACAATTCTATGATAATCTTGTTCAGTGTTTGGTGCAGCCTAGTCCTCATGACTAGGTTCCTGGGTTCCTAGTGGTGCCTTGCATATGAGTATTAAAAGTGGGCTTGCCTTGATTTGGAGAAGCAGCTATGTTTTGGTTGAGCCTCAGCTGGCCCATGTACAAACCCAAAGGGGGCATTGCTATTGTCAAGGCTTTTTTCTTTTGCAGCCTGCGCAAATTGCATTATTTCAATTAAATCCATCTGATAATATATGTATCCAACTCAATGCCTCTCCTTCCCCCCTTTCTTCCTTCTTCCCAACCTCGCTGCTTGGGTGATGTTAATTTGTGAGTGGGGGCTAAATTGAAAGGGACACTAATTGCATTCTACTCCACTTACTGTGATAAAGTAATCAGCTCGTTAGGTCTGGGGCTTGTCAGAGAGCATGTTGCTTTCATTTCATCTTTGTTCACCAGGCCTTCTCTGGCAATTTCAATTTCAGCCTAAGCCTCCAGAAACTTTTCCAGCCCCCACTCCCAAGTGGCATATAAGCCGTAAGTCTTTGTGGCTTTCCCTCTCTGCTGACCAGCTATATCTCCTGCTTCACCTCCATTGCCTCCTCCACCATAATGCACATGTCAAACCAAAGATTTATGATGATTTTTAATTAGACACATCAGCCGCTGGAGCCTACGAAACACCAAGCAGTTAATTTTGTTCTCTATATCTGATCATAAAGCATCTGTGTCAAGGATGGCGTCATGGACTGGTTGGACGCAGAGGAACCAGCTGCAGAACCACCAAGGGAAGAAGGCTCGGAGCCCGGATTGGTGGTGGGAAGATGATGAGTGGTCAGAGGGAAAGAGGGAGAAGACTGGGGGGCAGGGAGGTGTTGGAAGCTGAAAAGGCAACAGGGTTTAGTGAGCAGGAAGAGGCTGGGGCAGAGAGAAGTCTAGAAACAGGAGCTGAAGCAGAAGAGGAAGGAGGTCAAGAAGCAGAGATGGGTCAGGCTGGTGAAGAGGCGTAGGTGTCTCCTCCTCCTGCTGCAACAAGCTCCCCTCCTCCCTGGTCTCCCAGGACCAGGAGAGGCATGAAACGGGCGGAGCAAAGACAAGCATGCAGGCAAAGTCTCTGATTGCCTGGGAAAAAACCTCTAGAGAGGAGACGACATAGCTGGCTGTGGGGAGGCAGGAACCTTTCATCTCAGCAACTGATCCATGGGGCAAGAACTACCGGATATGAGTTCCTGTGCTCCTTAGGCCTTACACTCCTGTGCAGATCCTGTTTTGCTAATGAAGAGTTAACTCCAGCTTGTTCGGTGTGATTTCCTGCTGGCTTGCTCCTGTTAGGTGGGGAACCTCAGGCATGGAGTCCAAATGTGCCCCCCTAGGCTTCTCTTTCTGGCCTTTGGGATTCTCCCTAAGCCAAACAGCCTCTCCCCAGCTTTGAGGATGACTCTTGCTTCCCTGCATGGGAGATACAGATGGGCGAATGAGTGTACGTAGAAACTAGTCTACTATACAAAGATGAAATTGGCATTCACGACTGTGCCCACTTTTGCTTCTGAATCCACCCACCACTGGCAGGTGACAACACACACTGCTGGCAGCTTGTCTAGAAGGCAATGGTGCCCTCAGGCTTCCCCACTCCAGTCAGTCTATGCTGACTGTTTTAAGGCATAAGGGTATGTGGGGAGATCAAGGCCCTTCAGAGACTTTATGGGACACATTGCATTGATTTGTGAGTCTTCTGAATGACACACAACAAGGCCTTATGATCCTTTGCACAGACCAAGAGAAGGAAACAATTACAGGCTCCGGCTGTAAATATAGGAGTCTCTGGCTGTAGCTATGCATTAGAATTTTAGTTTTAGGCTGGATGGTTGTATTTAATATTTTACGACAGAAAGCTGCCTCAGGAGTAGGAGTGGAGGAGAAATTTGTTCAGTTCGCATTTTCATATGGACCCGCCAAACGTGCACTCCCCAAACCCAAGCACAGCTGTTCTTTGGAAACTGAGCTCCTCCAGATTTTGCAGTCCAGTTCTCCGACCAGAAGCTGTCCACGAACAAGCATATCATAGGGGGAAATGTGCATAATGCAGATGCTAGTGAAAATAATGCACAGCCATGTGTTATATCAGTGGAAAATGCTTGCAAAATGTATATCTTAGGATAAATGTCCCACCTCCCCCCCCAAAAAAAAAGTGTATGGATTTTCATGCAGATGTGGAAATAGAGCAAAATGAACTGAAAGCAACAAAAAACTGAAAGAAACCAAAATTGACAGATTTGTCCATCCTTACTTGAGAAGGTTTTAACTCTTAAAGGTGGACTATGAAAGCTTTGCAGACTGAGAGTAATGAAAGCATCAGAATATTCATTGCTTAACTTCAGCGAATGAAGGCCTTCTGAGCATTCCCTCTGGAAAGCTCTAGAATTTCCACCTTGAAAACAGCATCATTTTTATCAGAGCGACTGATGAGGGTGGAAGCTGAAACATTTTGCTATAAGAAATTTAATTTTCTCTTTTGGTAGTCCCTGTAAACAGTATTGGAATAGACAATGATACTTCACATTTTGTTACATATATTTAAGCAGAGGTGGTTTGCTGCTAGAGTCTGCTGTTGGCTGAAACAGCATAGAATTAAGATCTCCAAGGTGATATGTTGGGAAGCTTGGGATAAACTGGGAAGGGGAAAGTGGCAAGTTTCTGTCTATTTACATTATTATTATAATATTTATGTATACCCCATTTTTCCCCTGACTCAGGGCAGTTTACAGATAATAATGAGAACAATTAAAAACGTAGGATTTTTTTAAAAAAAAACCACTGCTACACATTGAATTAGAACTATACACAGAAAAAGAACAACCATTCAATATACACACCTTGAAATATTATTATTTTTATTAAAGTTGTATACCGCCCTATACCCAAGGGTTTCAGGGCGGTTCACAAGATAAAATCACAATATAAAAACAGAAAACACATAATCAAAACAAAAACAGCCCAATAACCCCCCAACCCCCCACATTTTTAAAGGGCATTGGATGTCAATCAGCCAATCTTGATTGCAGTCAATGGAAACTCATTTCTCTCCCTCTGCTGCGGACGAAAACAAGCCAAGCACCTAGCAAGCCCAATGTCTACACACTTCTCCCCCATTGCAAGCACCAACACGGGAAGCCATCAGTAAATGAAGAGATGAGGTGGAATGGGATATGGATTTTCCCCCCACATCTTGTCTGCCTTACTTGGCTGTTGGCCCACATGCTTGTCTGATAACATTATTTCATTTCCTCACCTCGCCTGACGCACAGCTGCTCCGAACATGTCAGGCTCAGCGCGAGTGGCTGTTGTCCAAACCCAAACTTGCAGCTAACAGTGATGTGGATCAATTGATGGTTCATCCTCCCTCACCCCTCTTGCCTTGAGGATTAAAGAAAAGGCCATGTCCCACTGAGAATTATCGACAAGTTAGACAAGAGGGGGGCTTGGAAGAACAGAGAGTTAAAGAGGACTCTCAGAGTAGTTTATCCTCACAACGTTAAAGGCTGGATTTGCCTGTTTTACATCTGTAAAGAGTATTGGTAGATTTGAGGTGGGGGTGAGGAGCTTTTTTTTGTCCCTCCTTCCATATGCTTTTGCCATCTTTGTCTTCCTTTTATTTGCCAGACGTATGCATCAGTTCTGTCCGTACCCCAAATTATGAGGCAAATCAGATTGATTTGGGGAAGGTACACATGTTTCCAAGTCAGGTTGCATCGTTTAACACAGTGTCTCTCAAGGAACTCCTGAGCTTCTGAGAGACTGCAGCTGTCGGAAAAGCACACAGCCATTTTTTAAAAACTCTGGGAAACAAAACAAAACTGGCTGGGGAAACCCCCAGAGCTTGAGAAGGGAGGGAAGGAAGAGGTGGGGAGTTCTTCCATTCTGACAGACAGGTCTAGTTTTTATTCACAGTGAATTATTTCCCCAGGGCATTCAGATCACAGTAATTAGGGGGAAGGATTAAAAATGTTTTGTTCACATGGATCTATGTCCTCCCCTATGCAAGTCAATGGGGAGAGCTCTTTCCCCCAGGGAGAACAGTCTGTATCTCCCAAAATCTATGGGGAACAGAAGTCCACCATCATCAAAGACCTTTGAGATAGTAGGGGAATCACCTTCTCAGTCTCTCCTGGGGATATGTGCTTTTCCCATCCACCCCTGATTCTTATTGTTTTCACCCCTAAACAGTAAAGTCTGCTCTTGTGGAAGAACCATTGCAGGCATCATTCTGAAATTTGGCAGGCCCTGTTGCATCAGAAGGTGTGTCCATGGGAGCAAATCGTATCCAACTTTGTCAGAAAATGATTTTTTGTTTTTGTTTTTTCCTCCAGCTTTGTTCAACTTTTCCTTTTTTAAATATAGAATTATTGATTTCCAATATATAACTATTACAAAAAACAACAACAACACACACAAATACAAAATCCCAACTTATATCCTAACATACCCCTTCCCCTCTCCAAGACAAATCAGTCTATTTAAGTTTGCCAAAATCCAGCCTGTGATTTCAGTGGTTGCCGTTCTTCAGAGCTATCAGTAAAGTGTTTTATAAGAGGATGCCACATTTCAACAAAATCATCTAGATCATTTGTATTATTCAATGAATGGAACCTCTCTGTTAGTTTTTCTGACACAGCCACATTTTAAGAATTTTTAGTTTCCGGTTTTTCCATTTTTTGCTCATGAGATTTGACACTGAGGGATACTTGTGCAAAACCCTGCTGAAAAATCTTAAGGCAATATTGTGAAGCTGCCAGCTTTCCAAACTCAATGCTTTTACATCCTGCAGAGGGAGGGAATTTGATGTAGGTCCCAAGTAAAGTGGTGATCAGAGAACAATTATTCACTCTTCTCTCACAGCAAAGGCTGCTTTTAACATTATAGATACAACTTCAACTATATATATAT